GATTTCCCCTTGGTGAATCCATGCTGACTACTCTTGAGCGCCTTCTTGTCCTCCATGTGCCTGGAGACAACGGTCAGTATGAGCCGTTCCATCAGTTTTCCAGCGACGGAGGTGAGGCTCAGTGGCCTGTAGTTGCCTGGGTCCTCCTTCTTGCCTTTTTTGAAGACTGGTGGGACATTGGCCTCCTTCCAGTCCTTCGGCACCTCCCCCATTCTCCAGGATCTTTCAAAGATGATGGAGAGCGGCTTAGCTATGACATCCACCAGCTCATGCAGAACTCTGGGGTGCATCCCATCAGGCCCATGGATTTGTGGGTATTGAGTTTCCTTAGGGGCTCTCTGACCCAAGTCACAGTGTTCTTGTTTACAGCTTCACAACAGAAGTCCAGTCATAAAGGAGCCTCTTCTACAGAGCCACTCTTTCAATTAGGCTGTTCATAGAAAATAAGCCTTGTTTGTAATCGCAATTTGTTACAGCTCAGAGGTAGCTTGAGTACAGCTTCAATTAAAACGAATCAGTGTTCCCTTCACTATGAGAGGCCCTTTAGCTTATATCAATATTATTCAAAGCTCTATGGAAGAACCACGAGATAGGGTTTGGTAAATTATGCGGGTAGAGGTGGATTAGTCTAACTCAGGGTAATCCCTTGAACTTCAACTCTGGTGAAGGCAAAGACCAAGCTCAGCATGAAATAACCAGAAACAAGGATCCTAACTGATGTGCTAATTGAAGGTATTCTTACACTCAAGGTAATTCAATTGTCAATAGTAAATTGCAAAACCACTTTAAAGAAGGCAAATAATGAAACAGTGCTCAGAAACAGTTGTTACTTAAAGTTAAGTAGCCGCCATGTCCAATAAATAATTACAGACATCAGTGCTACCTAGCTTCTTTTATTGGATAAGTCATATGAGGTTCCTTTTCAAGCACCTAATTATTAACTTTTGGCTTCAAATAAAGGCAAAAATGCAAACGTCTTGTTCTACACTTGGTTTTCCAGTTCCTAGGATGAAAAAAACCCCAAGAGTTGTTAAACGCACGCTTGATTGGCCAGCACTGAGTCTCTTGTACGATGCAAAGGCACACACCTCCCATGGTAAGTAGTTATTCTATTGTATTAGCTGTAAAGACAGTCATCACCAAAACCCTGCACCAAGATGGCCAACAGAAAGTGCCAAAGGAAGCTCCTTGTACAATGTCTTCCTTAAGCCCCTTTAGACCACCTGGACCATAAATTCCATTATCTGCATGAACAGAGGGTACAGTTCATTTTTCTTACTCCTGAAACCCCACTGCATACTTTTGCAACACTGCACTTTGCATCCAAGTCTGGATAGATTTGCTTAGTGTTATTTTTCAGAGCATTTACCATGTTTTCCCCTTTAAACCTAAGTGACTAACATCATGTAGGAAGTTCTTATTGTTGAAGTTTATAATAAAAATAGAACTCTGCAGTGACTAATAGGATGGAGGAAATATCAGCTCGCTAGTTAATCATCAGTTACACAGGAGTTAGACCATACTAGGTCATGGACCTTCACTATTTCAGCAACTTTGGGAATCTGTTGGCAAGATAGAGACAGTACAGTCAGCACTGAAGTTCTGTATTGACAGATATTTGCCCTGAGAGGCTGAAATATTAGTTCTTAATTCACAGCTAGCAGAAAAAAAGAGACAAGACAGGAGTTTTTCAGTCTCCAGAGATCTGAAGACAAAGGCATTCATGATCCATATGAACAGCTAAAAAGGGTCTCCTTTCCTCCATGGCAAATCTATCAGCACTTGTCCATGATGCCTGGAGTACATTTGTTTTCTGGGAATTTCTGACTATTTAAACTTAATTTGTTTTTCCTAGCCATTTAGATTTCTTGCAATTAAAAAAAAAAAGAGTATTTCCTAATGAGTAGGACAAGTTAAGATCATCTTTACGGCAAGCCAATTAGAGCTACTACGCAGATAAATTAGACACCAAACTCCCTGCCCTACCAGTCCTTCCACTGCATGGTTCTTTCGTAACACAGAGGAACACAGAGGACCTCAGAAATGGGGCCGCTAGCATTAACAGCCTTTAGGGAACACTGTATCCACTCCTGTTCCTACCTGACAGTACAAAACATTCACCTGAGACTCCAATAAAAAAGCAGTTTCAAGGACTTAGCAGTACAATCAAGCATTATACGCTCATTATTATTCCCTCCACTCACCATTTAAATAGCAGTGTCTTTGCAGCATCCACTTTGTTCTGTTTATACTCTATTATTGCCAAGGCAGTCAGGATGTGGGCTTTATCTTGTTCAGATTCAGCAATAGACAGTGCTTTCTCATAGGCTGGTAAAACATCAAGATTCAGAATTCAAGTAGAATGAAAAAAATATGTATATATACAATGCTTATAGAGCCTCTGGAAAGGCATGTTATTAAAGGAACGCATGCACAGAGCAGCACTGATTTCAGATTTTGTGAATTTTCACACCTCAAGGACATCTCAAATCACAGTCAGAAGAGAAAAAAACACTTGACTTAAAGCTCGGGGAGCCACCATGTTTTAGAAAATGCCAAGCTTAAAAGGTTGTTCAATGACGGGGAGACGTTTAAGATGTAGCAGATGGAAATGAATTTGAAAAATCAATATAGGGATGTCTAGAAGAATAAAAAGAACAACATTTAAGGATGCTCTTGTGATAGTTTACTTAGGAAACTGTATTTCAGTTACAAACTGGGGATTATTTAAAATGCTGAGCTCTGGCTGCTCCACAGGGCCTGCTTAAGCTTATGCATTGACAATTCAGTATGCCTTCTGTAAGCCTCAAATCTTAGCAACAATATAGCACAATACAGAACACAATATAGCACTTGTTCAAAGCACTCAATCATGAGAGATATAACACATTATTCTCCTACCTAAAGCTGATTTTTCCAGGAAAGTCAGTTCATTTGAGACCAAAGGAAGCTTAGAATGCAACAGTTCAAGGGGCAGAAATTAAAAAATTAAACAAACTCTGCTTCCTTTAGTACGTTAGAATAGTTCTAGCACCCTACTTAGTCTAATGGTTCAAATAACCATGGAAGTTGCTTTAACTCTACTGTTGCATTAAGGACTGAGAGAGCGCAGTGAGCTGAGCTACAACATTGTTGATTAGACAAAAGAAATTTGGTAATACTAATCTTACAAAGTGCCCCATGGTGCCTCAAATTAGGCAGACACTTACCTTTAATACTTTCTTGCAAGAGTCCCTTCTTGAAGTAGGCTAGTGCTATTCCCACAATGGCATCAAACTCAGTTAGGGGTACTGATGTGTAAACTTCAATAGCCTTATCACACTCCCCAATGGCACTGCAAAAACAAAAAGGGTCACTGCAAGGAAGGATGTAGCAACAGCTGCTATGACCCAGACAAGTTGTCCATTTGGTCTGGTATTCTGCTTCCAACAGCAGCTGTATGCAGACACATGGAAAAAAGTAAGACCAGGACAAGGATGTGCAGTATTCCCCACCCTCCTCCTCCTCAGCCAACTACCCTTCCTATCTGTTGCATGAAGAGTGAAGAAATCCCTCCCATACGTAATGATGTCACTTGATCCACACACCAAAGTGAGGATGGAGTGGGAAAAAAGGAAGTAAAATAGAAAGCATAAAAAAGGCAAATCAAAGTAGGGATGCACACCTTCTTGTTCCAAGACAACCATTGTCGTCTTGTACAGGATTGTGTTTTTTAAAAACCATTAGTAACGGGAGCTTTACACTCAAGTAGCACACAGGAATCCTCATGCATACAGCCTGCATCTGAGACTACAGGAAACTGAAAAACTGCTTCTAAAATCCTCCTTAAAATTAAAAGTCTATTTCTGGATGATCTCATCCTAGAGGATACAGGTGTAGTGTACCAGAAGCTAACCATATATGGATATTCTTTAGACAACTGACAAAATCTAATTAGCAGAACTTGAGTCATATCAAAGAGCAGCCTGAAATCTTTATCTAATTAGATTTGTGACCCTGTGTTTCATTGGGACTAGAAGAACACTGTGAAAAAACCTTAGAACTTCAAGTAAACTGCACTCTTCAGAAGAAAGGTAACATAGCCCAACAATATAAGCTTCAGGATATACTGGTCAAAAAACACTCAAACAGCAAGTTAAAGAGACTGCAGATCAAGGTTGAAGAAACCACTTGACACACATTAAGACGAACTGCATTCAGATCCATATCTAAAAGGTGGAGACCATAAAAACAAAAGTTCACTTTTCTGGAGACCATAAAACCACTACTTTGTACGGAGACTAAGTTAAGGCATTTAACGACCAAACTGGGGGTAAAGAGAATCTGTTATAAGCTGGAAAGAGATAAAGCAACCCCTTGAAATTTATTTTTATGATATATGTTACAAGTTTCTGGAGCACCTATAAAGCTAAAAATTGTCTATAGTTTAAAATAGTTGGTTATTATATTCCTTTCCGGGGATATCTTTCATCTTTCAGCTTCACCCATGTTTTACACCACTGCATGTTCTACATCCAAAGCAACAGGAAATCAGGAGTTGAAATAATAACACTTACCACAGGCATCTGCCATAGTTTTGCATTGCTATGTTATAGCTTTCTGTATCTTCAGAGTTTTTCAGCAATGCAGCTGCCCTTGAAATAAATGCAATTATGAATAACTACCATATGACTATAACACACATATTTTGACATTTGTTCTCAAAGCAGAACAGAAATGTGTTGTGCAGAAGTCTTACTGCACTAATTAGGCACAGGGTGCATTTTATAAAGTTTTAATGCATCAGCAAACATGTTCAACAAGCACTATTTCCCTCACCACCTCCTCCTATTATCTGAAAGGGAGAGAGGAGAAAATAAAAAACAAAATCCATCAATCTAAATGCAAATGAGGCAGAAGCAGAAACTAAAACAAACAAAACAAAACAAAACAGAGGGTCCATTAAAACATTTCCCATCAATTAATTCAAGATTATTTCAAGGATAGGTTTAGAAAACACACAAACAAAAACCTTAAACTCAGTATAGTGAATTGACCTAATATATTGGTAAGAAAGACACTCTGCCTTGGGACACGTTTACTCCTCCAATTCTCATATTCTGCATTCACACATAACTACATTCTCATAACCCCCTCATATTACAGTTAACTAGGAAGTAATAAACTTTATTTTCTAAATTCAGAAGTAAAGAAAAAGAAAAACTTTCAAGCTTTTCAGCTGGTACCCAGAAAAAGCAATGCAGAAGTTTCTATTAAGAAACATTTCAGAGTATACAGTTTACCTCTCATAAGCTTCCATTGCCTGCCTTTTTAGATGTAGATGCTCATTCAAAAAGCCAAGCATTGTGAAAGCAGATGCATCATCTGGATTTCTTTCTAGAAAAGTAGAATTGATGGTATAGGAGAACATGATCAGAAAGAGCTGTGAAAAAGCATTAGAAAAATAAAATGTTGCTACACTGATGCGACAGTGTATATGTAAACAAACACACAAAGCACTTATCAAAATGATTCCAGTGCAACTGAGAGGAGCATTTCGCACAGTTAAATGCGGAAAAAAAAAAAAAAAAAAAAAAAAACACATTGTTAGGCCAGCTCAAAAGTGCTTCGGATACTATGACACAGATGTCCTTGACAGGTTCTGTACATTTTTGCTCAGCCTGCAGTAGCTTAGGTTTTTCTGAATGAAATTATAAACTCTCCAGCTTTTATTCATTCTAGTAAAAAAAAAAGAGTAGAACCTTCACAAGCTTTCCAAAATAAACTGTAAGCACATAAGATTTGTTAGCTGTAATCTCACTCCAGGCTTCCAAGAGCTCTCCCCACACTAGAAAGGGTCAGACAGACCTGTTTTGCAATCTGTTCAAGAACAAGCCAGCACAGCCTCTTAAGAAAAGCTCCAGTAAGAGCAGAACATGAACACAACAGGGTGTGTCAGTTAATTAAGTTATTCAGCAACAAGGAACAGACTTATGGCCAAATAGCATGGCATAAGGATAGAGGAGTTGTCATGTATCTATGCCTATCCATACAGGTACAACCAAAGAAAATCTGTTAACAAATATTTGGTGACAAACACAACAAGATTTTGGTCCTTGTTTTG